GAGAATATTCTTAGGATCATGCTATATTACTTGTAGTCATGTTCTAAGAATGTTTTTTAAACCTCCCAGTGAGAATATTCTTAGGATCATGCTATATATCTTCTAGGCATGTTCTAAAAATGTTTTTTAAACCTTCCAGTGAGAATATTCTTAGGATCATCCTATATTTCTTCTAAAGAACATGCTTAAAAGAAATATAGCATAATCCTAAGAATATTCTCACTGGCCTCTAGGCAGGTTCTTAGAAGGTGCAAAGTTTTGTGGTAAAAATTAATCCACTCTAAACATACCTATGCTTAGAATGTTGAGAAAGTAATTAGTATTAAATACCAAGTAAAAAACAACCCAACATATTTTTTATAGTTATTTATCAAATTAAAACAATATTAGATAACAAAAATACTTTTACTATAGGTATTTTATTTTATGTTAAAAATAAGTATTTATTAATTTGTATACCGATTTTTTATTTCTGAATTAACATTTTTATGTATAATAATTCTACTATCTTCAACTTCAATCTAATCTGACTTATCCCACAAAATTTTCCAATTTTACTTTTTATGAAATAATGTCATACAACTTATGGTTCAGAGGTCAAATTGTTTATTTAATATTTTTAAATAAATATATATTAAATGTCGCAAATTTTTTTAAGGGGACGACAAATACATTTCACTTTCATATTATGACAGTGAGGCGTATTTGTCGTCTCCTGAAGAATTTTACGAATGTAGAATCCAACATATTAGAACGTGGGTATCTGACATATTTGGAAATATTCTCAAAAGCTTCCTAGAAGCTCCATAAGAAACCTTCTGAGAACATTCCAAAAACGTATTCTTAAAATGTTCTTAGATTGCTTTTTAGGAAGGTTTTAAGAAGCTTCTAAGAATCTACTTGCATCATTAAAAGGGTATCTATTGAATGTTTTAAAAGTCCCATTCTTAGCAATAAGGGAAGGTTCTAAGAATATTCCATTATTTGTATCTTCTTAGAAGATTCTTAGAATCAAATTTTGCTATCAGGGATATTGCAAGCACTGTATACTCTTCAAGTAAGTCAACAGAGGCGAGATTTAAGAACATCACGTGATCCACACCGCCTTTGCCGCGATCGGTACACATTATGCAATACTTTAGAACATGGTTCTTTTTCTGAGGACCTATACATATATGTATATATATATTATATATTTATATATATATATAAAAGTTATAAAGTGCTCTTTTAGTTCCACCCTTACATCCAAACTAAGATGTCCCATAAGCCAACTGAATGGCTTGTGCGGGTTAGGGGTAGGAACGGACCGACGGCTTAAAGTCCCCTCCGAAGGACTATATATATATATATATATATATTTATTACCACCACATAGATTTCTTTACCATGTCTTGACTTTGATTCTCACTAGTCAACAAAAATTTTCATTTTCAATAAAATCAATCCTTAAAAATAAATGATGACTAAATTCTTAGGTACTTCCCAATTCAAATAAATTCAAATAAAAGGGCTTGTATCTTGGATTAATGATAAATTTACACTGTTAGTTTGTATTATTTTTATTTCAAAATTAAACTCAGTTCCTTTTTGATTTTAATCTATCATTTGTTATTATTAGGAAGGTATCAGGGGCGTAGCTACCGCGGTATCAGCCGTATCAATGATACGGGGCCCCCGATTGGCTCGACATATATGTCGAGCCAATCGGGCATATGCGTAAGAAAAAACATATTACCCACATGTTAAAAAATTGAGGCATGAAATTAAATAAATAAATATCCGCTCGTACAGTAAGAATATTTTTTTTGAATTTCGTTTCTAAAATCTTTATACAGGATGAAATTATCTTCAAAAATGTCCATTTAAGCAAGTCTATAAGTTGAATATGTTCTTCACAAATTGTCGTTCTACTCGAAAATCTTGATCTATTGATTGTAGATAAAAAACTTAAATAACAATTTTGTAGGGAATATTTTTCTGTAACACTTATAGTTTAGCTTGTACAGCCATTTTTTTAAGTAACTCTAATAGTATAGTTATTACAGTCGTCAGAAACTGAATTTTTAAGAATTTGACAATATGAGTCACTCTAAAATGAAGCACCCTAATATATATATTATTTATTAAATTATAAAAAATTGGTAAATTCAAAAAAATTATTCCCTAATAAAATTTTTTGTTTGCCCAAAATGGACTTTGGTCGTGACACCCAAAAATTTTTTTGCCAGCAGCTTTTCCCATATAAAGGCCCCTACCAGATTTTTGATACGGGGCCCCCTTGAGGCTAGCTACGCCACTGGTAGGTATGTATACAAAATAAGAATTTTAAATTATTTATAGATCATAAACTTTTTGTTCAAACTTTTGGTTAAGTATTTTGTACATACCTTCTTCGTACATACTATGTACGTACTGAGGACGACTGAACCTTACATTTTATGTACATAATACCTATATAGTACGTACTTAATACATATTTTTTTGGTCTTAAGACGTAAGTACGTAAATATAACCAAAAATGTACATTTTTAAAACGTACTGTGTTGTTTGGGGTTCAGACAGTAAATTAATGAAAAATCTCTAATATAAGCACTCTTGTATAACAACCTCTGATTGTTTGTTTAAGATTTCTTTTTATTTGTTTCAAAAACATAATTTTTAATTAAAAATAAGAATAACATTTCCGTAAGAGTTAAACTAACAACCTCATTTTTCTCAGTGTAGACAACCCATAAATAACTCAACCAAATAGAAATTTTTTCCTTTTGCCTTTAAGGCGTAAGATCAAATAAACCAAATCAAACAAAATTTAGATTTTATAAGTAAATAAGTGTTGTAGGTGTGTAATAGGTATATATAATATTGTATGTATATGCATTTAAATATACGCATTAACTAACATAGCAGCCCATAAATCAAAGCTTAAAATAAACGAAAGCCTAAAAAGTAAACAAGATCACAGAAGATAAGAAGAGCGCCCCTTTTCTCTATAGGCAATGCCTGCCATAGGGCCGTAATCCAATTTACGTACGTAATACGTACACTTCAGGGCCTATTTTGTATATTAATATTTAAAATTTAGCCATAATCTAGCCATTTTGAACTTCTTCTTCTTCTTATTCTTCTTTAGATTTAATGGCCTTAGCGTACTTAAACACTATTTGGCCAGCACATTATATTTTTTAAATTTTCTTTACTGATCAGGGGTCTCATTTAAGAGAGTCTGAGTTTAACTCATCCCTTGAATCATTTATCTACTGGTTAATTCAATTTTTTATATACCCATGCATGTTCAATTTTCTTTAACCATGCACCACATGGCTATATGCACAGGATTTCTTCAAATATTTCAATCTTAATTCATCCGTTTCTTTTTTCGAATATTTTCATATATTTATATATTTCTGATTAAATCCAGTGTATTTCTACCCTGGGAATCCGATCTCGTCCCTCCTGGGTCGCAAAGTCACTTATATTTCACTTAGTATAGTAGGTATATATCAGGGACCCGGACCCAAATGAAATAACGGTTCCTGTCCGGTTCCGAGAGAAAGGACAAATTTCGGTTCGGGTTCAGTTACCGTTCCAAAAAAAAATATTTCTGTCCGGTTCGGACCAATCTTTTCTACGGTTTTTTTCGGTTCCAATTTTTTTACCATGTAGTTATAAATAAGTAAAATTATAAAATGCAAAATTTTTTTTTTTGTAATTTCTTTTTCGCATGTAATTAAATTACTTTGTCTATTCTTTTTTTCAAATCAGGTTCTTCAATTTTAAGCTCTTAATTCTCTTTTTTTTTTACTTTTATTCTCGATCGGCTTGCTAACTTTAACTTTTTCTTCCGATCTTGCGATTGAAAAACTGGAAAATTCATATTTAAAATAAGTTTTTCTCCAAAAATTCTGTTGGTTCTCTCAAATAATTGTTCCTCAAAATTTTTTTTATTTTATGTTTGATCTTGTGGGAAGTAAAAATTTGTGACCAGAAAACAGCCTTTTAACGCTAACTTACTTATGTTGCAGGTGTCATAAGTATACATAATACTAGGTAACACTGTAATTAATAAATCCCCACTACAAATGCACCTACCACCCATGCTAGTCGAGATACCTACATACACCTACATGCTAGTCATTTTAATAAATCAGTCTTCAACATACTCTGGTTTAATTTACTTCATGGCGCAGTCGGTAGGATATTTGTATTTTGTACAGTGTTGCCTGGTATTATATAATATATATGTATACATATGACATATGTCATATGAAAATTAAAATAACTTTATTTGAAAAAGAAAGATATCTTTCTTTTTCAAATAAAGTTATTTTAATTTTCATTTACAATAATTATTTATACAACATTTACAATTGGTATTAATAGAGCAGGAACGCTAACAATACTTGGGCTAGAGTGTATAATTTATAGTCCGTGCTCAAATATTTTTTTGCAAAAACTAATTTTATAGATTTTTTTAACGAAACAAAATGTTTTTTTTTAATTTTTGCAAAAAGAAATTAAGAAAAAAACCGAAAATAACCTTAAAAAGCGTTTTAAATTTAAAGGGTTTGGGTTCGGTTTCTAGAGTTTAAAAATAATATGGGTTCGGTTACGGTTCCGGTCCACAAATAAATACCGGTTCCGGTCCGGTTTTCTGTCCAAAAATGATCCGGTCCGGGTACCTGGTATATATACATGATACCTGATGGTTTGTTGTATCAAGGTATCATTTTAAAATTCAGGTATTACTACGTTTTTTAGCATATCTATAATCTAGCCATTTTAAACTTTACTTCTATCTACTTTATTGCATTTTGAGTTGGCAACACTGATTCCCCGCGACCACTATAGTATAGTATAGTTACATGATGGTTTGTTGTATCATGGTATCATCATGATACTATCATGTATATGTGCATAAAAATGACTGAAGCTGGTTTTTTAAAGAAGAAAGGAATTTTTTAAATAGGACATTGGATTTAAAAATAAGACACAACATATAAATATTAATTTGTAATTAATTTATTGAACAATTAATGACTGGTTAATACAAAAGTATGATATGAGATACATAGTATGGATGAGATACGGTGATATGATACATATAAACCATTAAAAATAATATTTATTAATATATAAATTTACGAGTAGTCTTAAAATGTAGGTATACATTATAATTTAATGTGTGATAATTTTACCAAAAAAGTTTGGTAGGACGAAAAAGAAAGATTAATATTGGTAACTTAAAATAAAATAAAATCAAACGTTTATACATAATTGTGCATAAACAGTGTTTAATTTATAAACATGCGTGAAAAAATCCATATAAAAATTAATAATATACAATTGGAAGAATGAAATGTGCGTGAAGCTTCTTTTTCACCATGTTCATAAATTAAACGTTTAAAAAAGCAAATCTAAAACAGCCTTATTTATTTCTAGTCTACATTTTAACGTTTTTCATATATTCTGCATACTAATCATCATACATTTATGAATACAGAGAAGTCAGAGAAAATAGTAATGCCGTTGACTCAACGGTAATGCACTTTACAAATTTTTGCTGATCTGTAAGTACTTTAAAATGGAAAATTAAAAAAGTTTATAATACAATTTAATTTTAACTTGACTGTCTAAAAATGTCCTAAAACTGTCTAAAATAAAACAAAATTATAGTTTTTTAAAATAAGTCAAAACTACAAATAATACTGTCTAAAATGGCCAAAAAGTCTTAAAGGTATCTAAAATAACCCAAACTGTATAAGAAGGTTCTAAAATTACCCAAACATAAATATTAGGTACTGTCTAAATTTAAATTACCAAAAACTACCGTTTTATAGAACCCCTTATAAGGGGTTAAAATTAAAAAGTGAATAACTATTTTCTCTGACTGTACAACATTCTGCATAAGTAGACCCTTAGATACTAAAATTCGCCCAGTTTAGACGATATGTAGTTAAAATATAATTCAGATCAAAAAGTTTATAAAATTGTTCCATTATTTTGTTAAAATTGTCCGTTGTTATCCAGGTGATGTTTCTCTATAGCTTAAAAGTATTTTTGGTTCGAAGATGACTAAAAACTGACTTACATTCGAAACATCCATCGAAATTATAGGAAAAACTTTTGGATATGTTCAATTCAACAATAAAAATATGTCTGTAAGGACATATTGGAAGACACATTTAAAAAAAATACGTAAAAAAGTGGAATTTTTTTTTGTCGTATCATAGTTTGAAAATTTATACACGTCGTAAAGCTCACCTATATTAATTAATATAGTTTAAACTACATACCAAACTTGAACTTTCCATCTACAACAGTTTTGAAGATATCCGCAAAAAACCCTAACCCAAGATTATCTTAAATGACATTTAAGATCAAAGTTTTAGCAGCCAAAGCATGGAGCCTACACAAGGAGTCCGAACTTCATGTAAACTAAAATCTTCCCCAGATAAGAGGGCACTGGTGTTCCGTTTGTTCTTAAACAATTGACTAATTTGTACCAAAACGCTACCAAAAGAGCAGACGTCAGTACGCATCGACAATCAGCGCCGCTGGTGGTAAAAAAAAGACTTAATTTGTGCAGGCAACGGGCCTGGGGTGTCTGGCGGCTACTTGCAGAATTCTTTGGTGCGTCCCTTTTATATTTAAATATAAATTAAATATTAAATATATATTTAATATATATTTTGCGACAAACTGGCAATATGTAATTGAAAATGTAAAAAAACTTCTGAAATTAAGCATAAAATATATTTATTAAATTGCCAAACAAACAAAATCACAAAAAATACAACTGGTTTTTAGTAAGGTAGGTACTCTCTAAAAATGAATTAGTCAAAAATGACTAGTTTTCAAAGTGAAAAAGCACTCACTAATAACTGTAGTCCACAGGAATTTGTATCCCGGACATTTAACAGCTTTATATTATCTAAAACTGTTCCCTTTAATCCGAAAAGGCAGTCAAAAATTATGAAAGTAGAGCAGTTTTTGAGATATAAATTGACTATATCTCAAAAACTGTTCTACAATTGATAATCACTCAACGATTCTACTTTTACAACTTTTGACTACATTTTCGGATTCAGTGGACAATTTTACATAGGAGTTGACTGCTAATTGTCCGGGATATAAGTTTCTGTTGACGATAATTATTAGTAGCTGCTATCGTAATTGGTCATTTTTGACTAATTCATTTTTAGAGAGTAAGCTCGTTACTGCTTGCTACCGTCAAAGTTCTGCAACTATCAAAAAAATTATTATGACAATTTTTTTCCTTTTATTTTGATTCTTATATAAAAAAAAATAAACTGAAAAAAAGAGCGGCCGACGCATGCGGTAACATTTATCCTATGTATGTTTAAGTATTTGTTTATCCGCAAGAAACTTTATCGAGTACTGATTGACTCTTTGATTTTGCGCTCCCAAAATGTTGCGCCTGCGTGCGTGCACGCACTGCACGCTCGCCAGGAGCGGCCCTGAATTTGTGCAATTTAGAGGGCAGGTTTTCTCAATTTCCCCTTTTTAATTCCGGCTCCTTGTGTAGGCTCCATGAGCCAAAGGATTAACAGCTGTGTTTTTTAAATAAAGATGGTTGCTCCGCTAAGTTCCTATTGGCCACATCAATGCTTGTGGAAATATCACAGAGAACTTCAAATACATTTTTAGTTTTGATATAAGTCAATAATGACAATTATTAATAATTATCGTTGCAGTACTTAAGTACATTTGATTAAGTTTTGTGATGTAGGTGATGATATTTGGCAACGGCGTAATAATCCAGGCAACTTTGGTTTTTTAAATTTTGAAAATCGCCAATTTTTTTTAAATTTTCCAAGTTTTCCAAAAATTAATATACCTAATTCAAAAATTCTTAAATAAGTATTTCAAAAATTTTAAAATTTACAAAATTTTAAATTCAACAAATTTCCAATATATTAAAATTTCAGAAATTTTCAAAATTCCCAAAATGTTTCAAATTCCCAAAATGTTTCAAATTCCCAACATGTTTATACTTTTCAAAATTTACAATTTCCAAAAAGATATTAATTAATTAATACCTTTCTTCAACCAAAGCAGTTTAACTTCTAATTTTTTGTTGTTGTATTATTGCTATTATTGCTTGGATTATTAGAGAAGAACTTGGCCGCCATATTGCCTTGTCATCTGACGTTTCAAAAAATGACATTTTAAAGGTCAAATGGAGCTTAAACGAATGGCAGTTTGGCGGTCATTATTGTTGAAAAAACGTGAAGTGTAATTGTTAAGGGGGAACGTAGGGCGGGGGTTTTCTGTAGGTGGGGGTGGGTTTGGGTCTCGACTGCCTGCCGTTATCTTGGGTGCGCGTAAAGGGGGGCGGGGGTTGGTAGGGTTCCGAATCGTCGTTAAGTTTTACGGAACCGCTTTTACTGTACTCCGGTGGAGCTAAAGGCGGTTTTTCGTCTTTCAGAATGACCGGAGCTTTGGTGCCGGGTTCGGGTTTTTCTTCCAGTTCCTCCTGGAAGATCACCGGAATTCCCTTGTTGCCGTAATTCGCTCTGCCGTCCTCTTCCACGTTCATTTTTCCCATTCGGCGTCTTCGGTATAGAACGCAGGCTGCCACCGCGGCTACGAACAGCATTACCGAAATAATCACGATGGGAATGATGAAGGTTATTAAATATTCGTCCGTGGTACTTTGCGGCGTGGTTTCATCAATGGGTATCACTTCGGGAGGACTTGGGAGCTTAACATTACAATTGCCCATCATATTAATCTTAATTGTAGAAACTATAAACTCTTCCCCCATTATATTAAGTAGTCTATGCGATATGCCGTGCGATTCCATATCGTGTTTATTGATCATAAGGGATTCTAAACGGTTTATTTCCGATGTGGGGCATTTTTCGCGCGATAGTGATTTGTTAAACCACGTCACTATGGTGGAATCCGCGTTTTGTTTGAACGGCGCAAAGTGGATGTTGCTGCTGTTTGGCTCGTGGAAAATTTCCTAAAAAAAGTAAAAAATATTCGTAAAATGAAGTCCTAAGTTTAAAAAGTTAATGATTTACCGAAAAAATATGACATTTTTCATTTAAAATCGATTTCTAGATTTTTTAAATGGTTAATTTTTTAAAAATTAATACATATTTTTTACAGTTATTGTGGAACTTACCATTAACTTCTCTACAAACTTCTTTTGCTTACTGGCGCTGTTAGCAAAACTTTCAAACCTAGTTTCCAATGCCATGCTAAACTCAACGTTATAATGAACTTTCGGTGCTGAATAAACGACAACTTCAAGGCTATCGGTGACGGATAACCCGCCGCTATCTTCACACACCAACTGGTACTCAGTTCGACCGGATTTACGAGGAATTCCGAAGAATTCTCGGTTCTTATTGTCGAACTGAAGCCAGCTGTTCGCAGAAATAGCTTGTCTAGTAGCTGTTAGTAGAGAAATGTTTAAAGTTCTTGGGTCCACGTCTTCTGGGTCATAGAAAGTGTCCTAAAAATGAGTGTTTAAGGCGGGGAATTTGAAATTTTCCAAAACTCACGTCTCTGACTTTGTAGATAAGCAACTCGCCGATGGTGGCGTTTACGTGATCGACAGGGTTCCGCAGGATTGGCGAAAAGTTGTCACGTGGCGTGGCAGGGTTAACAGGTTGCTCGCACACCCCGATAAAGTTGTAGGACGCCTTTTTAACCCTCAATTCTGGCGATAAAGCCATGCTCAGTTCTCGCGAAGGGTCTCCTCTATCGTTTGCAGTTAAAGTCTGCAAAAAATCAGTAATACCTAATGTATAATTTTTTATTGTATGTAAAGAACCAGAGAACCAAGGTTTGGAAAATAAATTAGTCACATCTAAGTTACGATAATTTATATATATTGGGTTTTATTTGGACATATGAATTGTAATTCTGCCGTGCTTAATGAAAACGCCGTAACCAACAATTTTGCGATTTTTGGTTTACGGCAATTTCTACTAGAACAATTCATCCTGCGTCTATCCCCGGTACTCAAAAAACCGTATATATATAGATTGTCGTCAAATTTGACCAAAAATTGACATATTTAATGATTTCCTAACGCGACAGCTCAAAAACTGCATAAAAATAAAGACTTACATACAATTGCTATTTTTGGTCAACTCTGTTTGTAATGAAGTTTGGTAGAAAATTGGCAAAACTTTTACCAGTTTGCTTATGCGCATCAGCGAGTATATAAATAAATCAATATTTAGGTTATTCAATTTATGGATACTAAACTTAAGTAACTAAAGGTTAAGAAAGTCAGATGACGTCACAATATGATGACTTCTACTTAGGTAGTCTAGGAATTGAAATATTTTCCTCTCTAGTTTTTCCACAAATCTGTTCTACCAGTAATAAAAAATAGGGTAAATAGAAAAACCTAGATAGAAAATGGATGATTGGAAAAATGAAAGAAGAAATATGCAAACAAAGGAAGATGACAAATAGCATGTGCTACATACCTTATAAACGTTTGTTATATCAACTCTAGGGCAGTAATTCGTAGGTATCGTGTCATTCCACCAGCTAAAAACGACAGGTTCTTCATTGGAAACTATTTGTTTGACTGTAATTTCTGACATGTTGCTGTTGTAGATTTTTCCCAGGGCTCGTAAAGTTTTCAAAGACCAGTCGATGTAGTGCGGAAATTCTTGTGGTTTTTCGATGCGTATTTGAAGAGTATACTCGTGATTGATTACGCGCGCCATCTTGTGTTGTTGCACTTGAATTGTGAGAGTGTCCTGCACGTAGGAACCCTCACTGTCAGTGGCGCGCACGTAGTACGTCCATTTGGAGACATCTTTTTCCAAAGGCCTAAAATTAACATAAAGTTTTTATTTTTTAATATTTTATTGAAAAATAAAACTTACAGTCCATATATTTCCCTTCTGGCTCTATTAAACTGACACCAAGACCCCCTTCCAACAGGCTGCTCATTGGAATCAAAAAACTCCAAACTCAAATTGTACTCATCCTCAAAATCTTTGAACGTGTTGACCGGAACAACATATCTGAATATTTTTCCGGCAAACACTGACATTTGTTGCAGCCTGTTTTCAATGTAAGGCTTGAAATTTTTCTCCTCAATCTCGATTGTTTCCGTCACTTCCCGGATTGTCGTCGTGGATTTCGGAGACTCTGTTACTTGTTTGGTTGTTGTTTGTTGATGGGTTGTGGTTGGGGATTCTGTGGTTGTTGTTGTGCTGGTGGTGCTGGTGGTTGTTGTTGTTGGAGGTTCTGTTTGGGTTGTTGTTGTTTCTTGTTTGGTTGTTGTTATTGTTGGTGGGATTGTTATTGGGATGGGAGTTGTTGTTGTTGTGGTGGTAGTAGAAATTGTTGTTAATTGCGGTGTTGTTGCAGCTTCAGTTGTTGTTGTTGTTGTTGTTGTTGTTGGAGGGACCGTTTCTTTAATGGTGAGGAAAAAAATGTATAATATATATAAAGAATCACAGAAAATGTAACAAAAAAATTATATAAGTGCGCCATTTTTTAACCACCCGGTATAAATATAGAAAAATCTTAAATAATTTCAAAATCAGAAAATCAATTTAGCGAAGACCTTTTCCAAATAAAATATACTATTTTATTTTCTAACAATTTGTTAGTAACAAAATGACAACCTGTAATGACAGAAGCTTTCTCCATACGCATAGGCGGAGATAATATGAATAAAATAGGGTAAAAAAATGTTTTTAGTTGACATAAACAATAAAGTGGTAGCGCCATTTATTGATAATTATAATTATCAAAAGCGGCCGAAAAATAAACTTTTAAGGTCGCATATTACAGTATTGTGCGAAGATAAAATAAAAAAAAAAAATTTGTTCAAAAATTCTCAAAAAAATCTAATTTTTTTTTATTAAAATTTAAATTCCCAAAAAACGCCACCTCAAATTTAAAAACAAAATCATGATGATAGCCCTAAGTTTTCCGCAAATTTTGACTACTTATTTTTGGGGGGACTCAAAAACTTTAGAAGTTATAAATTTTTTTTGTAAAGAAATGCATGTCAAATCGTCGCTACAGATCCAAGCCTACGCGTAGCTACGCCGCAGCGCGCGGTTCCGAGAGATGTGCGCTCGGTCTAACAGAGAAAAAATGGTTTATCGATTCTCTCTCTCTCTTTCTCTAACACATTAATATTTTCATACTATATTTTATAAAAATTATTTCTTTTTCTAATTAGGTATTTTTCTTGGTACCTACTCTTCTAGCTCTCGTTAAATTTTTTTAAGAAAACATAGGTTTTTATTTTAACTAAGAAGGAAAAAGTAATAATAATTATTAATATTCTATGATTTTACTAATAAATTCTTTGACAAATATTGTTCAGTTCACAGTTTTCATTGATATTTAACCAGTTAAAAACATAAAATAATAATATAAAGATTTTTTACTTAACATTTCAATAAAATTGGTATTTTATTTATTCAGAAAACTACAGTTAGTTAGAACTATAAAAGCAGGGTTCATTATTTGCATATTTTAATTTGCAACAGCTGCAAAATTTTAAAATATGTAGACAAATAACTTTTCCTTCTTAGTTAAAATAAAAACCGATGTTTTCTTAATTTTTTTTAACGAGAGCTAGAAGAGAACCTAGAAAAATACCTAATTAAACTAAACTTTTTTAAATATGTTAAGCTTTTCTTAAGTAGGTTACAAAATTTTAATTTGCACATAGAAGTTATTGCTAAACCATCGACAATATTTTAATTTGATTGTTGTGTTTTTTTAATAAAATTTATTAATTAATTAATTTAATTGGAAAAAAATAATTTGGGAGTTTTAATAAAATATAGTTTGAAAATATTAATGTGTGTGTGAAAGAAAGAAAGAAAGAGAATCGTTAAACCATTTTTTCTCCGTTAGACCGAGCGCACGTCTCTCGGAACCGCGCGCCGCGGCGTAGCTACGCGTAGGCTTGGATCTGTATCGACGATTTCACATGCATTTCTTTACAAAAAAATTCATAACTTCTACAGTTTTTTAGTCTCCCCCAAAATTAAGTAGTCAAAATTTGCGGAAAATTTTGGGAAATCATGATATTATTTTTTTAATTTGAGGTGGCGTTTTTTGGAAATTTAAATTTGAAAAAAAAAATTAGATTTTTTTGAGAATTTTTGAACAATTTTTTTTAATTTTTATATTATCTTAAAGAGCGTAAAAAAATATGCTTATATAATTTTTTTCGACACTGATCAAAATAAATTAATAATAATTGCATGCAAAATATAAAAAATACAAACTTACCTATTGGAGGTGCAAAATCTTCCACAACAGCTTGCGTAGTCTGTTCTTCCGGCACCGTAGTTTCCAAAATTCTAGTAACCGGAACATCTTCCGGTATAGTAATATCCTTAACGGTCGTTTTAACGGTAGTAAAGGGCTCTGTTAACAAGTCCCAGTTGTTCGCATTATCAATCTCTTCAAAAGGCTTCTGCTTAGTTTTACTGCTGAAACTTGGCACCACTGTCTGGCTCTCTTCCGGTCCGTCGTCGTCGCCGCCTTCGTCGTCATCTTTATCGTAATATTCGTAGTCGTAGTCGGCCGGGCCACCGCTAGGTTTCGGGATTTCCAAGTTATTCGATGTTGTCAGTTCTTGAGGGGGTTCTGTGGTTGTTGTTGTGGTGGTTGACGTAGGTGGGATTGTTATGGGGATGCGTTCTTCGGTGAAGTGGCGAGGTTTTTCGTGGTTGTGGTGTTCATGGATAACCTAAAAAAACATGTTTTAGACCTATCAAAAACATGTATTTCTTACTTACTGGAACGCTTGGATCGATTGGTTTGATGCTCTGTCCGTGATGATGCCTATGGGGATGAGTTACTGGTACTTCTGTTGTTGTAGTTGTAGAAGTAGTAGTCGTTGTAGTACTTGTACTCGTACTACTACTAGAAGCAGAACTACTTGATGAGATATCTGTATCTTCACCATCATAATCATCATCCTCGTAATCGTCATAGTAATCCTCATAATCACCGCTCCCTAATAAAAACTGTGAAGAAAACCATACAAAACTATAGACTTTGGCTTACCATCCTCCAGAGTCTGTCTTTTGCTTCTAACAGCAGGTCTAGTTTCTGTCTTCACCCTCCAGCCAATCAGAGGCAACCTAAGCACTTCTGTGATGGTGCCATCTCTAGCCTGTTGCTTCAACTGATGCACCATGGGGGTGGTTGAGTCCCACAGGCGTCCATCACAGCCTACTGGCACTTGAAGGAAGGAGGTGTACTTCGAGGATCTAATGCGGACGTTCCCTGGACCGGCCAGGACTACGCTGCTGTCCGTTATGTCGTCTGGGGTTGTTTGTGGTTTTAAACTGAAGGCACTCTAAAAGAAAAACGTGGAAATTTTGCACCTAGTTTGGTAAAAGTTTCGAAAATATATTCTTGGAAAATGTTTCATAAAACATTAAAAATGTGTTTGGTTAATGGTTTTTGAATGAAAGGAAAGCATTGGACTTATATTGTCTTTTGTTTAAAGTTAAATGTCCAAAGTTTTTGTATGCTATGACAATTTTTTTTGAAATCGGATAACATTTAAAGGTCGTCCATAATTAAAACTATAGGTATAACACTAAAAATTACGACAAAAGGGATGCTTTTCATGGCTCAGGAAATTGTGTCAAGTAATTTGCTAACACGCAAAGAATATACTGCATCTCTTCTTCGTCCTTGGTCAGTAACTGGTTGTATTTTTGAATCAGACTGATCTCCCGTTCGGCAGTGTAATTAACAACTCTCATTTTAGAATACTTCTTACGAAATTCTTAGAAAACCCTATTCCCAGGAATTCATCACTTTTACATTTTCCTTCAATAATAAGGACATCAAAGAAAAGGCTGGATCTTTCAGTAACAAAATTTTCTAGAGTAAGATCATGTTCCTTAGTTTATTTAATCAATGCAATGTGGACAATCAGGCAATTATGAATGATTTAGATTTTGTACAATCATTTATTTAGATTTTGTAGACACTCTTCAAAAACTACAAATAAAGTGCTCTGAAATAAACCAATGATGTCTCTTAAAAGCAGTGTACGTTTTTTGCTGATCTTCTATTTGGATAATTTTTTATGATATCTTTATAGGAGGCTCCAATTCTCTCCAAGTATAGCTTTATTCGAATATCTCACATAAACCAAGCTCACACTTTTATTTTTAGTTTTTAGAAGAAGACGTAGATAATTGTAAAATTGTCCTAGAGTCTTCCTTTTCGCACATTTATTTTTGAACTTTATAACGTTTTCTTCCCGCTGCCTTTTTAAAATCTCTCTTGCCGTAGTTTTGAGGTCAGCACTCCTCATGCTACTTGAAAAATCTTTTCTTTGTTTTAACAACGTTCTTTATTTTACTCTTTCGCAGCAACATCAAACAAATCTTCGAGATTACTTCTAAACATATTCTCAAACACAGTATTATTTTCGTTTTGAGAGAGAAGGGTACTTGTTAAAAGCTAAATATATTTATATAATATATATTTATAAAGTTTTGATAGTTTTCTCACACATTTGCTGCGTAGGTACCCCGGCAAGCTACAAAATAGTCAAACATGATTTACACGTCTGTTTGTAACTACTTGGGGACAATCCAACCCACGAGGAAGTCGAGTTGTGGAAAAACTTGAATGACCGAGAAGCAGATCTAGTCCACATTCTGATACGTATACGCGACTACTTAATGAGTAAAGCATAAAAAAAATTAAACATAGACCACAGATTAAATATACTTTTCTCTTTGAACGATTTAGTATTACATTACATTATCTTCTTGTTTAACCTAATACTTGCAGGTTAACAAAAGAAATCACTTTGAACCTAAAGATATTATCCTAGAAAGACATCATTTTGTAGCATAAATACTACACCAAAAAGACAACTTTTGGTTACCCGTTCAATTCGAAATAATAAAAAAAACAAGCACAAACTAAGTTTATAAAATACTTGCCTTCTGGGCCAAATCTCCATTCATCTTTTAGACCAGGGTCGATAATTTTTGAAACCAAAAAAAATAACAGAATAACACCATCAGAAAGTAGAGAGTTCATCAAACAAAAAGCACACCGACTTTTTGAAAAAAGCTGATATTTTGACGCGAGAATTTTCGATTGAATATTAGGGTGCTTTTTTGATATTGTAGCGAGTACCGCTCTGGATATCGGAGTGATGACTTATCGCCGGTGAGTCATCGCCGGTGACTCAGCGCTCGAATAATCGAGAGTGTGGAGCTCGCTGGAATGTTCCAGAAGACGTAGGCGCTGTAATATATAAGGAACGGCGCTTCACAGAGCAGTCAGTTGAGCTTTGGTACTCGCGAAGAAATAAATAAATATAAGTGCAAATAAATAAACTAGTAGTGATATAAATAATTAGTAGTTAAGTGTTTAGTTAGTTTTATAGTGTTTTAAGTGTAGTTAAGTTATTAAATAAATAGTTAAGTTCGTTAATTAACCAGTGCGTGTTTTAATTCACACTACGAACAGTTAAAAACGTTACATTGGTGTCAGGAGTGCGGTTAGTGTGAAACTTCGCGAAAATGGTTTCGTTAATGGACTTAAAAGTGGCGGACCTTAAGCGGGAGCTGGAAGAACGAGAATGTGAAACAACTGGAAAAAAGAATGTGTTGCAGCAGCGGCTTCGAGAAGCGTTGGAGCAGGAAGGTGAAAATCCAGATACGTATTTATTTGAAGGCCCGTGTGATATGCATTTAATGTTGCAAAATTTAAACGAAAAAATGTTGGAGAATTCTAACAATTTGAAAGGTGATTTAAAACAGAAAATGCTAGAAAATTCTAAAAACCTAAAAGAATATTTGGAAGGGAAGATTCTAGAAAATGTCAATGAATTAGAAGAGAAAGTTGACGATGTAATGATGGAATTAAATAACGTAAGGATGGAATTGGATACGAGAGAAGAAAAATTGAACGAGAAATTGGAGGTCAAAATTAGAGAAATAAATAGTAAACTGAAAGCTGTAAATTTACCTATGATGCTGACGGAACCAGGAGTAGTGCAGGAGGGAAACCGAGTACGGATAAAACCACCTCAGTTCGATGGAAAAACTTCTTGGACCAACTACATCCGTCAGTTTGAGGCAGCAGCAAAAGCAAATGGCTGGCTACCGGAAGAAAAAGCTACAGCATTGACTCTTGCTTTACGCGGAGATGCAACCGACATCTTGCAGACACTTTCTCCCAACGAACAAGAAGATTACGAAGCGTTGGTTAAACATCTGGAATTGCGATATGGCCAGACACATCTGGAACATGTGTACCATTCCCAACTAAAGAATCGCTGCCAGAAATCTAACGAGACTTTGCAAGAATTTGAGGCTGATATTGCACGATTGGTTCGGCTAGCATATCCAGCTACTCCAACGACCGTTATGGAACGATTAGGGGTTCAAGCCTTTTTGGATGGACTTCGGGACAATGAAACACGACAGGCTCTGACATTGGCTCGTCCGAGCCAAATGGTTGATGCATTGGCTCGAGCTTTGGAATTCGAGGCGGCAAAGCAGAGCTGCAGGAGCCAGCCTAGAATAAAGAGAGTCGAAGAAGAAAAGAAGGAAGAACCCAGGATAATTGAAGCAATTAGGCGAGTTCTTAAGGAGAATTTACCAGAGAGGAAGGAAATCCGGTGTTGGAGATGTGGAAAGCTGGGACATATACAAAGTAGTTGCAGAGGAAGTCAGGTGGCGCCGACTTCATTTAGAAAAATAAATAGGGCCGAAGAAAAGGATGTGTATATTCGCAGGACTACAATCGTAGATGACACTGGTTTACAGTCAAAATGTACCTTGAGTGCGACTATTTTTTTCTGATGTATTTTGGCCTGCTAAACTCGAAAATGACAATAACATTTTTTTTTATGGCAAGATTTTCCAAATAAAAAATTGTCTTTGATTTTTTGATGCTGGCTTTACTATTTGGGATATATCTCGAGTTTGAAATGGCCAATTTGATTACAACAGATGTCAAATTAAACCTAATTAATATAATAACAAATGTAATTGTATAAATGCCCAATTAGTCAATAAGTTTAGGTGCAATGGGGCCAAATATCGAGAAAAAGTCAATTTTTTGGACAAAATAAGAATTAAGTATTTACTATTTTACCAAAAAGAAGCAAAAATCATTAAAATATGCCCATTCCCACTTACATTTTTTTTTCAAAAATCTTGGTGACCTGAGTGATGAGCATGGTGAAAGGTTTCATCAAGAAATAAAATCCATGGAGCGGCGCTATCAGGGCTTTTGGAATGAAAGAATGATGGGGGATTATATTTGGTTCCTTGTAAGGGAATCAGATAACGAAAACAGAAGGCAATCTAAAAACCTAAATTATTTTTAATTTACAATAGTATTGTATATTAAATTATATTATAATGATATATAGAGTGTTCCATTTAAAATAAAACATCCTGAATTTTTCGGAAACTAAAAGAATTTTGAAAACTCAAGAGACACATAAAGTTTTATATCGAGGGAGACAACAAATTTTGCCATTAATGCTAATAATGCCAAAATTTGGTTTCCCACCCTTATCCTCTATGCCCAGGAGCTTTCCCCTTAATAATTTGTACATATCTAAAAAATGAACTGACCAATTTAAAAAAAATAAAATGCCGTTTAATAGGGATTTTCAAGACCTTTAAAATAATGTAGTACTCTGTACCCCTTCTCTATTTAAATTCTTAAGGGGGTAACTCCGGGGCGCAGAAGGTAAAGGTGGGAAACCAAATTTTGCCTTAAAAAGTTTTCCCCCTCGATATAAAACTTTACCTGTCTCTGCGTTTTTTAAAATAGTTTCCGAGAATTTAGGGGGGTTAGTTTTAAAAGGAACACACTGTATTTTAATATTAAAATATAAAATAAAATTTATTTAACAGTAAAAAGGTTCTATTAGGCAAATAGAACCTTTTTTTTGTAAAAAACTTAATTTCGGAAAAAAATTTACCTGTCCACTTTTTGCATTAACCCCTTTAATTATAATAATTATCAATAGATTTGTTTTAAAAATATCTTGTTTTCTTTATAACAGTTTGAACTCCACGTAGATAATTTAAAAATTGACATATTTTGTTGATTTGTATTCATCCTTGGCAAAGAAAATAATGTTACATTCTCATTTTTCTCCAAAAAAAACGACTTTTTTCAATATTTGAGCCCATTGAACTTAAGCTTATTAACTGATTGGGTACTAATAAGGTGATATTTGTTGGCGACTCAAATATGTTTAATTTTAAACTTTTTTCAACCAGATTGGCCATTTCTAACCCGAGATATGACAAATTGTAAAGCTGCTTTCTTAAAGAACCAAAATATTAAAGAAAAAATTTTATCTCAAAAACCTTGCCATAAAATTTTTTTTTTTGTGATTTTTAAGTTTAACAGGTCACAATACATTAGAAAAAAATAGTGGCAGCGAAGGTACATTTTTTTAATTTTAATTTGTAAACCAGTGTGATCATTGGCAAACTGCTGAGGTTCAACAAGACCAGGAAAGGGACCCGGATTTGAAGCTCATCATCGATTGGAAAAAGAACGACCATAAACCAACGTGGCAGGAAGTCGCCCAATATTCGCCGAATGTGAAATCCTACTAGGCCCAATGGAATTCCATCATCTTGTGACGGGCTTCTAAAGCGCGTTCTGAAGATGCCAGAAGGGGGGGAAGACCGGAAGCAGATAATAATCCCCAGAAACAGGATACCCAGGGTGACCAGGACGCTCGGAAGACTTAGGGAACGGTTTTATTGGGTCAACAGCCAACGAGATGTGAAGGAATGGTGCAAGAAGTGCGCCGTTTGCGCGGCAAGCAATGGACCCCAGAAGCGCCCAAAAGCACCAATGCGACAGTACAATGTGGGCAGCCCATTTGAGAGAATTGAAATCGACGTGGCGGGTCCATTTCCGGAAACAGAATCTGAAAATAAATACATAATACATAATGGACTAGTTTAGCAAGTGGGCGGAAGCATACGCCTTGCCAAACCAGGAAGCTGCCACAGTGGCTGATGCCCTTATTAAGGAGTGGATTTGTCGTTTTGGGGTCCCAATGGAAATGCATTCAGACCAAGGCAGGAACTTTGAATCTATATTGTTCCAGAATGTGTGTAAGATTCTTAACATTCGGAAGACGAGGACAACTGCATTACATCCGCAGTCTGATGGAATGGTAGAACGAATGAATCGAACGATAAACCGGTACCTGTCCTAGGTAGTCTCTGATCACCAAAGAGACTGGGACCGCTTCCTTCATCTGTTCCTGTTGGCGTACCGTTCTTCTGTCCACGATACAACCGGCCAGACACCCGCTAGCATTGTTATGGGACGTGAACTTCGTCTACCTTGTGACTTGAGGTTTGGTTGCCTACCAGGGGAAGACATTGCTGGAGAAGATTACGTTAGCAATTTACGTAGGAAAATGAGCGACATTCACAGCCGAGTTCGTTTAAACATCCAGAGTGCCAGTGATAGAATGAAAGAGGCATACGACATCAAGGCGGAAAATGGAGGATTTCAACCTGGAGACCTAGTTTGGTTATACAACCCTCAGCGCCGTCGTGGTTATTCACCGAAGCTGCAGACTTCTTGGGAAGGACCATACGAAGTCATGGATCGCATAAATAACATCATCTACAGGATCAGGAAACAACCAAGAGGAAAGCCGAAAGTGATCCATTTCAACCGATTGGCCCCTTACGCTGGAAACAATGCTCAAATAGACGATGCTAGAGTAAGGAGAGTTAATCCGCCGGAAGACGACTTGCCTTTTGAAGACTTCATGTATTTATATTCGAGCGGTAAAAAAGCTCGGTATGGTGTCACTCGAGAAGAACAAAAAGATCTGTTCACGGTTTCGGCCGATTAGTCCTTGGCTCACTGTGTTGCGGAAGACCTTAGGATGTCCAGGGGAATAGCGGTTGTCTTTAAAAACAAGTTTGGACGGGTTGACGAGCTACGAAGGCAGAATCCCAAAGTTGGAGAGGTGCTTGAAATTGTGGATAATGAGCAGATAGGCAATAGAAGTATCTTCTATCTGGTAACGAAGCAGCTCTCCCATCATAAGCCAAACTATCGTGACGTATGGAATGCCTTAAATAAATTGAGAGATACCCTTTTGTCCAAGGACATCATGAACCTGGCGATACCGAAGATTGCTTGTGGACTTGACGGTTTAGATTGGAGAATAATTAGAAGTATGGTGGAAGTTATCTTCAGATTTAGTGGCATACACATTCTTGTCTGTTGCCACAACCCTAAAAGAACAATCGGAAGGAAGACCGTAGACTGCTACTTCTATAGGACGTCACAATGCAAGTTTGGATCCCTATGCAAATATCGCCATGGAGCTGAGGACCATTTTCGGGACGAAAATGTTTTAAGACGGGGGCAATGTAGCGAGTACCGCTCTGGATATCGGAGTGATGACTCATCGCCGGTGAGTCATCGCCGGTGACTCAGCGCTCGAATAATCGAGAGTGTGGAGCTCGCTGGAATGTTCCAGAAGACGTAGGCGCTGTAATATATAAGGAACGGCGCTTCACAGAGCAGTCAGTTGAGCTTTGGTACTCGCGAAGAAATAAATAAATATAAGTGCAAATAAATAAACTAGTAGTGATATAAATAATTAGTAGTTAAGTGTTTAGTTAGGCGAAATAATAAATATTTCAAATCAAATAAATTACAGTGTATTTGGGACATAAAAAGGTAAGTTTTCACCAAATTTCGTGGAAAAAAATTTATTTTTGAAAAAGATAAAAATAAAAAACCAAAAACTTGGTTTTTTGAATTTTTCACATAAATTTTGAGGTTATGTGAAAAAATTGTAAATACAAAAGTTGTAGATCTTTTTATTACCTACAAAAAGTAAAAGAAAATCCATTCTGAACAAAAAATTTGATAACATCTTAGTTTGTTATTCATGTAATACTTGCATTTGAATAATGCTTTGTTTGGTTGTCTTAAAAAATATGAAATAAGAACACGTAGGTATAGAGAACAAAAAAACAAAACCAGTTTTGAAATTGGTCAAAATAAAGTTCTTAGGTCGAGAGTCATGGGGGGTAATTGAACCCATTGCCCCCCTGTATCCGACCCTGCCATCAGGTGAATACTGAATACAGTTGTGAAAATAAAGACAATATAAGTTCAAAACTTTTTATAAACATTGGTAATATTTTGAAATATTGGAAACGTTTATTTAACTAAGAAGAGAAGAAAACATTTATAAAATAATATAATCGACCCTAATATACCAATATGTATCGTTTTAGTAAATTATTTATCAAAATATCAGAAAAATGCCCCCATGATTTTTCACAACTTTTTTTACAAGCTCAAGTTTGACAATAACATATCAAATGGCCGATTTCTGTCTCTTAATTTGAAATAAGTCTGCCAGGAAATTTATCATGGACTATTTCCCTCGTCTTAATTTCCACCAATCACAAACGCGCAATTTTGAATTACAAATGGTTTCTAGGTGAAAAAACTGTGTGACAGCACCTGTCAGCAGTTTATTCGAGTTTACCCGCGGCAAAACTTGACAGCTGTTGTCACCAAAAATTGCAATTTATATTTTAATTGTTAACTGTTACTCATGAAATAGTCTTGTCAAATACCATTCGGGCATCTAATTTTTCCTGTGAAAAAAATCGAAAAAACACAATGCTAAGTAATATTTTTTAACAAAATGCATTCGTGCAGGTGCAAAAATCCTCCTCTTCGACTCGGATTTTTGTTGCCACCAGCACTCATGCTTTTTGTTAAAATATTACTTAGCAACGTGTTTTTTCGATTCTTTTCGGAAAAATTAAATGCCCTTATGATATTACTTACGAGTATTTCCCTCGTCTTAATTTCCACCAATCAAAAACGTGCAATTTTTAATTACAAATGGGAAAACTGTATAGCAGCAACTGTCAGCAGTTTTTTCGAGTTTACCCGCGGCAAAACTTGACAGCTGTTGTCACCAAAATTGCAATTTATATTTTAATTGTACCATAAATAATTAAGTTTGCACTATTATTTTTAGTTTTTAAATTAATACCTACATATTTATTATGTATGCATGGTAGGTAGTATGTTTTGTAAGCTATGTGTATGCAGAATAACTGTTACTCATGAAATAGTCGTCAAATACCATTCGGGCATCTAATTTTTCCTGTGAAAAAAAGTCGAAAAATCACAATGCTAAGTAATATTTTTTTAACAAAATGCATTCGTGCAGCTGCAAAAATCCTCGTCTTCGACTCGGATTTCTGTTGCCACCAGCACTCAAGCTTCTTGTTAAAATATTACTTAGCAACATGTTTTTTTGATTTTTTTCAGAAAAATTAGATGCCCTTATGATATTACTTACAAACATATATTTGTTTAATATTTTGTTCCATAATTAAAAAAAAAACAAATTCCCATAGGAATAATTCCAATTATTGCAATATTTAATTAACCTATTAAATAAAATAACAAAAAAATCCTTGTTCTTAGTGGGACACGATTTACTAAATCGGATTTAGTATGATGTAAATTACTGACAAATGTATTTATAAACCTTAATTTCGGATATTTTTGTTTATTATTTCCTTGGTAAATATTTTCAGTTACACCCTGTATCTTCAGAAAGTATAAGGAATATTATTTTTAAGGATTAAGTAAAAATGGATGATTTAAAACCGACATTTTATAATAGGTTTTGTCTAGACTTTACATTATTTATACCTATTCCTAGAGTATTATGCTTGAAGATTAAGAAACCATAAAAAAGTTTAAAACAAATTATTTGAAGTATTTAAAAATAGAAACGAAAATATCAAATCAGTACAGTAAAATGAGGCAAATAGAAACTTAAAATTCTGCCTTAATATAGAAATGAAAATTAAACATAATAAATTTTAAGACTTACAAATGGCAATCCAAAAAATCTTGCAATATTATCGATAGCCACCACCCTTTGCTTAGGCTTGATAATTCTAGCATTTTTGTCCAATAACAAAGTCAAAATCGTGATGTCTTCACTTTGGGCGCATCTCTTCGTACTTTCTTCTTGTATATTGTTTTCTATCACATCTATTGTTAGTTGATATGTTGAAGATTGTTCTTTGGGTAAAGATTTCACCATCACTTGAAAGGGACCGTGGTCCTCTTGTAAAGGAACTCCCCAGAAGGTGGCGCTCTTTTTGTCGAAAAGTAGCCAGGAGGGCAGGGGCTTGCCTCCAAATTTTTTTGCCTGAAAAAAATGTGCTTGGTAAAAAAATGAAATGCAAAAATATGAAAATCTTGTTAAATTAACTTTAAAAATGTATTACAATATTGAATCAAAGTTTTACCTAAACCAAACTGATAAATTTTAACAAACGATTTCTCGAAGAGAGTAAAAGATATTAAAAAATTCAAAAAGGATTTTTAAGGGAAAGGGAAATACTTTCAGATGTAGTAACCAGTTTTGTGAAGAAAAAATACGTTATGATGTTATAACTTAGAATATTATATAACGAACTGCGTTGTTCCAATTATGGATAAGAGTTTCTCGAAAACCTGATGGGATGAAGCAATTCTGATCAGCACGACAAAAACCTTCGGAAAATATAGTCTGGCTTCTGTTTATAAACTGTAGAGTATTTTAATACAAATATTGTATTTTTCCTTAAAATCATAAAAATTATATTCTAAACAGTAAAATTTCATCTCCACTTTAAGTAATAACAATTCCTATTTTATGATTCACGTTTAAGGTAATAATTTTATTTATTAGGAGATATGTATTGTACAAAACTATTAAACCAGCATAAAGTTTGCATTTTAGCTATAACATCGTAAACGTTCATGTTAAAAGTCTTTAAAAGACTTTTCTAGGTGAAAATTGGAAAAATAATCTAGCTTTTAATTAATATTATACATTTTATAATTATATTTTAAACCGCCATTTTATAAAACTTAAAAATGGTTCTTAATATATGAATTTCTAACAAACAAAAATTCTATTGTTTTTTTTTGCAGGCTTAAACCTTTTTAAAAGAGGCAAAATCGCTAGGGTTTTCAAGACGGTTAACACGCCGGGGTAAAAACATAACATATAAAACTGTGTTTTCACTTCTTCTGCTATGGCCATTTTATCCGAGATAGTGGCTGTAAGAAAGGCCATAATATCGCTCATAAAGCACCACTTTATTTTCAAGCGCGCAAAAATAACCAAACCCTCGGTCCCGCAGCTATTATTTAGATGTTATACAAAATGAAAATATAAGTTTGGTTTTGAATTTAAAAAAGTTTTATTTCCACATTCACTAAACAGTTGAGAGTCTCAACTTGAAAGCCAAGATTGCCTAGAACTTTGCTACAGATATTTCAATGGAAACATCAAACACAACATTAGTTACGTAGTTTGAACTTACAAGATTTTCTTAATGCACTATTGAAAGGAACCAATTTAAAGTTATTAGACAAACAATACCTAACTTAATTTCCACAAAAATCAATGATTTTAGATAAGTGTAAGGGGTGATCTCATAAAATGTTTATGTGAAATTTTACATACTTTTCGAATAAGCAAGATGTTATAGGTATATAGACGTAGGAATCTTATTTCAAAATCAACTTTGAAGCTTTTAACAGCGGCGTGTACAAAAAAAATTAAAAAACCACAGCCCAAAAACTTTAAAATAGTAATTTTAATGTATTTTGAATAAAAATAATTTAAAACTGTTTTACTTACCTCAAATCCATTAACATTTTCATCGAAAGCCTCTCGGGGTACCACGAGATGAAAAACCTTCCCCACGGTGGCCGTCGCCTCTCGACTCCCCCACATACCGGCGCCCGTGGCAGCTCCAGCGTCGATATTGACGACGAAATCCTGCGCCAATCCAAAATCGAAGTCGCCCTCTTTCGCGCAGTCCACCACTGCGCAGCACAACGCTGCCAGAACGATTCGCAGTCGCAATCGTTTTTCGGAAGACATATCTGGGGATTTTTTGTTGTTTTAGGTTGGTATGAGGTGCCGGGTCACGCTGTCATGGCCTGAAACAATGGAGTTTAGGTGTTATTAGAGTAAAACACAGAATTAGCGAGGTATTAACGCGACGGTATTGTTGTAAAGTTTGATTCGGGATTTTAGTTGATATACTTAAAGTGCACGATTTTAGTAAAGTTTTCACCTATTTTTTTTTAATCAATCATCAATTGCCAAGATTATTAGCACTAAACCTTCGGACTCCTACCGCCTAAAAACTTCACGAACTACGCATCACGTTAAGTATAAAAAGATGTAAATGGGGACATAAGGAACACTTACTTTCAGGCATTCAGGTAAGTCACCACCGTTTAATATATAAGATTTGGTAATCTTAGTATGGCCTAATCTTAATCTGGTAATTATAACCAGTTCTTTCCTACCTAAACCAGCAACCCTTACACCTTCAACAGAGTCAATAAATTGACTTTTTTGGACCACTCTTCAGTCCGTTGAGCTAAAACGGTATTTTTTAAATCTCAAGATAAACGAATTTTGTCCAGTTTCAAACCATTCAAACTTGAATGGGCAGATTTATTGATAAATTTTCAGCCTAAAGAAATGCCCTAGTATGAAAAGATGTTCTTCTTGTGGTTCTCTGGAACTCCGCGATGTTATCGCTCATACCTATATGCTCTAGTGTGTGTTAATGGCTAAAAAAAACCTTCTTTTGTCAAGACTCATAATGCCTGCTATTACCTATTAAATTCACTAATCCGATGTATAAAACTTTATTAAATGGTAAATTAAATTTGACTTATAACATGGTGTTTATGTTGCTTATTATAATAGATAAGTAATTCTGTGACCTGTTTTTTTAGGAAAACCTACAGGATGAGTTAAAAGGTTTCAAAATATTGTCAGATTTTAGCTGCATAAAATTGCTCTATTAGTAAATAAAAATGTACTTCCATGTGATGAAGAACTTAAAATAAAACAGTAATATTTAGGTACCCATAAATATTCAATTTAAAATTTATATCAGTTTTTTATAAATGTGCTGAGTACCTTCATAAATTTGCTAAGACGCTTTTGGAAATTGACAACTATGTTTGCGCAATGGTTTAACGTAATTTTATACTATATGCGTCAGACCCCTTTAGCATGTCCACGGTATTGTACCGGCTTCTTAAAACATTTTTTTTTCAAGATTGACCACACTTAATAGTCGATAGGATTTAAATCAGGCAAGTTTAGACATCTTTGTCCAAAAACTCAGGAAACAACTCATCACACATAAGACCCTGAGCGTTGATTGGGCTGAATGTAACTGAGCACAGTCTAAACTAATAAACAAAGACTATGGTCCAAATGATTTCATTTTTAGTAGGTCATTTTTTAGTTAATCTAAAATTAAAACGGCTCTTTCGAATCGGTTCACTAATGTGATCCAGATGCAGTGATCCGGTACAAAAGAAAAGCCCCAAAATGGCTGCAAGTGAGTTTTTGCTGACCTTTTCTTAGCAGTGAGAATTTTGGCGATCACTAGCGAACAGCTGATGCTTTTTATTTAAATACTGTTTTAATAAGGTTTTTCATCACTTGACAGTACGTTTTTACTTACTAATAGAGCAATGTTATGCAGTCAAAATGTGATACAAAATTCCGGGAACTTTCATTGCACCCTGTATATCATTGATATACGTGCCAATAGTATTTACTTCGCTTCCTTGGCTTAACCCGACACTGTCGAAAGGTGAATGTGCTAATGCAAAAATCCAGACATTTTTGGTGTTTAAAATTCCGTAAATCGCGCTTGATAAAGTTGAAATTTATTGCGCGAAGTTCTAGGGCATGGAAGGCCGATAATCTTCTATTGGAAACTTTAAAAATAAGTTTCAAACTTATTATAGTCTTTTGTTAGAGCATTTTCCTGTTATATTTAAAGTTTTCTTGCAACAATACAAGTTTTAACTTTAGCGATGCTGTTATCTTTAGATATATTTGTTAAAAGAAACGATAAGGATGATTCAAAGTGATTTATATACGTGCTGGTAATTATTTTTATTCTCTTATCGGTATTAGTAAACCCAACAGATGTTCATTCGAACTTGCAGAGTCATGAAAATGATAAAAATTATTTCCATTTTACACAACTTATGTCTATAATTGCTTATAAAATTTTTCCAACAATTTAAATATCTAATTTCTATTAGCATCTGCCTTTAAGTTAGGTACCTTTGTGTTTATCATAAGGAATATAAAGCATAGCGATAATAAGCTTATGAGAGCAACATTAAAGGTAACTTCCGCTTTGCAAATTCTTTATTTCGTCAACTTAATGTTTATTCGGGATCAGACCCTATTTGTATCACTGCATAATCCTGGATGAATGACATTTATTCAATTTTAAATCTTTGGAATTATATAAAGCATACATAACAAATCTCCAATTTTGTTTGATAAAATAACCCAGACTTTTTACGATCAATTGCAGATCAAAATCATAAATATTGGAATTTAAATAGCATGATGAATATAATATTTACAATTCAATTAACCCCAATTTAATTAAATTACACCAAAATCAAGAAAAACTCCATTTCTGACTGCTTTGAAGGACAAACATTCTCTACCACCATGTTTTTCGTAAGATTTATCATCTGATGTATAACGTAAATTACTATGTTGCCAGTTGCCTTACACAATCAATGACTATGTCGAAATTCAGTTTAGTTTGAAAGATTTATATGATTGTATTCTGAACAAATTTTCTTTGGACACAGACATTATACGAGTTTTCCTGAACAAAAATAGGCATTCATTCAGCGGTGATTTAGTAGGAAACAGGTCTCGTATCGTCTCGCACAGGAAATGGAAAGACTGCATCAATCTGTTTTCCACATTCTCTCCATTAGTCGCGTGGAACACTTTGCACACCGACAACACCACTTCCCTAATGGTTCCGTTTCACGATACATATACTGATCGATATAACTCTACAAACACTTTGACTACTGTGAAATGAGACGTTTTTTCTAAAGAAATTTGTTAAAAACCATCTTAAACGTTTTAAAAACATAAAGTTTGTAGAAAGGCAAAGAAAATTTGCTTAGTTAAATTGTAACCGAAATTGGGAATTTGCTTTTAAGGTACTGTATAGAATTACAGGCTGTAGCCTAATTCAATTTAATTTTATACATTTTTATGTTTTCCTATAAAATCTTGTCAGGCACAAAAATGAAATAAGCTGTCCATTTTAATTTGGCGTAGCAAAGGAATGTTCATGCTGTTTGGATAAATAACACTATGTAACATGATATTTGTTTATCTGGATTTTATTACACAAATCGTAGTAGGCCATGCCCCCGATTACGTAACATACATTTGTTTTTTCAAACTGTCAAATTTTCAACGACAGATCGTGATAATGGCTTTGAGTGTCATTAGGGGACATCCATTAATTACCTGAGGCATTTTTCTGATAATTTACCCCTCCCTCCCCCTTGGTGAGATTTGGTGAGATGTGGTAGACCCCCCCACTATCCCTCACGTAAGATTTTGGCCATTAAACTTTCTTTATGGACAACATGTAAAAAAAATGAAAAAAATGAATTTTTAACAAAAATTGGATTATAATACATATTTTTTTAAACTCAAAAGTTAACGTTAGATTTTAAATGAAAGGTTTCCTTGGTAACCACAAAAGAGAAAATTATACTGACCTTGTCAAAGTTTTATTAGGAAGTTTTAAAGAAATGGGATGCCGCATGTCGTTGAAAGTACCTACACTATTTGCATACGCATCTTGACTTTTTCCTTGAAAATCTGGGAGATGCCAGCGAAGAACATGAAGAAAGATTCCATCAAGATATTCGGGCAATGCAAAAGTGATAACAAGGAAGGTGGGATGCGACAATGATGGGTGACTATGTTTGGAATCAACTTCGGGAAGAAAATGCATCATATAAAAAAAAGTCATATTAAAATTCATCTTTGAGCCAAGATTTAAAATCTATGTTAAGAAAATATTTTTCTAGATTGTATGTTTTGTTAAAATAATAATTCTGAGTTGAATTTCTTGCCATTTCTTGTCAATATATATATTTTTTTTGATAAAACTGGGTTTGATTATATTATATAAATACCCCTTAAAAAATAAAAACTTATCATTAAATTTTTTAAATTAAATTAGAATAGTTTTTTGGCACACAAATATTGATAATTTAACAAAAAAATCCAATAAACAAAACAAAAATCAAATTTTGTTACATAGTGTATATTATAATATTAAAAAAACATACCTATAGGTATGAGTATACTCAGTTATGTTTATTATTATTATTGTATAATTTCCGAAAGCGGCGTTGCAAATGTATTAAGATGAAAGAAGCACAATTTATGCAGTTAAAATGTGATACAAAATTTCCAAAACTTTTATTGTACCCTGGAATTACCAAATAACATAAACTCTAGTATTTGATTGTTTTAATAAATAAATAAATAGATTAAATAACATATTATTCCTCCCTTAATGATCTCATTGATTTGACGTCTGAACTATTTATACTGCCCACTTTTGCACTACTTTTATCATTGACATTTGATTGTGAACCATTCGACTTAATTAAGTCCACAAAACTGGCCCAACTTTGGTTTACTCGATCCTCTAAACTAATAAACCTTTTACTGGCACTTATCCTTAAGGCGTAAAAAGTCTGCAGTAGCTTGTCCTCGTACACAGCTTTGGTTTGCTTGAGCCTGTCCTCCATTTGTTTGGCAAACTCCTTCAGTTGAATCGGGGTGATGTTGTGGTTGGACTTCATGGCTTCCAGCGGTTTTGCTGAGTCTGTGGTTTCTGTTTTGATGTAGGATTTTTCCAGCGGATTAGTCATGCTATTGCTTACTGATGTTGGTAGAAAGTCACCTGAAGTAAAGTGGTCGTCCACGTTTTGACTTAACCAAGTATCTTCAAAGTTGTAATTCGGTTTCGTTGGTTGACATCTTATTTGCTTTATCCAGGTGTTAAAAGAAATCGAATTCATCGGTGCGGATAAGTATCTATCAT